GCTGAGTGATTGTATCAGGCGGTAAAATGTTGCTATCGTACCAATCCATAGTAGGAGAATTTGGTTCAGAAGGTTCAGGAGATATATTATAAACATTAATCATTTGATCCAAATCAAGTTGCATGACAGGTTGATGGTTGGGATGTAATAGAGCTTGGGCATTAATACGGTCGAAAACGCTGGGTAAAGAAACAACTTGAAATGGATCTTGATCACTAGTATATTGGCGAAGGGAGTATAGATGACGACTATTTACAGCATTCCATATGTCTTCAAGTGATCTACTATCATTAATCGAATTAAGAACTTCATTAGTGTTATCATGACCAACATCGTGGGTGACTGTGAAATTTGGTTTAAAAAATAAAGTTAGCAAAAAAAAAAAAAAAATAAAACAAATAAAAAAAAATATTAATAAATAAAATAAAAATAAAAATAACTAGATAATAAGGAACGTACCATTAACGAGTATTCTTTCATCAATTTCGATTGTAGATTCGCTAATTGAAGATACAGGAGTAATATTTTCATCAACTTTAACAATATCAAGTTCCATTTTACTATTACTACAACCACCGACGATATCATTATTATTATCAGATTCATCATTATTATTACTACCACCATAATCATCACTTTGAATAGAATCGACAGCTTTTGAGTTTTTTATATTTTTATGGTTACCCTTTTTCGATTGCATGACAGGAGTGGAGGGTTTTTTCGTAGCCTTTTTCTTTCCTTTCTTCTCAACTACGGGATCTTGTGTTTGTGTCTTAGGCCGATAACTTGGAACAGTCAAGTCTTTAAGCTCAGTAGCTTTTTCAATTTCCAATTTTTTGGTAGTTGCATTAGATAATTTTTTAAATTGAGTTTTAGTTTTTTGGTCATGAACCATGAGATGATGCATAAACCAAAGACGCCATGATAAATTTTCCAAACGCATTCCATATTCTAAGGCATCTTTAACTTTTGTCATTAAGCGCCAAGTTTTTGATAAATCTTCATCAGTATCGATAGTTGATAAAAGTGAAAAGGCCTTGTTGCCCTTGATCTTAAGTTTAGTAGGTGCCATTTTATTATACCACTAAATAGAACAATAACAAAGAAGGTTATGTTAAAATAGATTTTTAAATTATTTTTTTAATTATTGAAATATATAATATATATATAGTATATATGTGTATAATACTGTATATATTTTATTTATTTATATATTTATTTTTTTCTCTGAAAAAACCTTTTTATCAAGTGTAATAGATTTTATAAGTTCAAGGAAACCGATGATAGCCACTAGTGTGTATCTCTTCTACTGCTATTCTAAAGTCTTTAACAAAGAGATTAACACATACCTGTGGGCCTCTTTTTTTAAACAAATAGCCTTAATTTAAGGATGCTTTATGGTATTGAGGAAAGATTAACGGTTACAATATTTTTCTCGAACTTGTGAGCCACGAAGATTATGAACAAGGATGAAAGTAAACAAGGGTCAA